AACCCCTCTGCACAAAGAGAGTGTTCTGTAAATAAAACAATAACAACAAGGGCTCTGTGGATTTACCTCTGATTAAAGTCCTTTGTACATTTATATGCAAATGATGTTTAGCCCTCCAGCTGCTGGCGGCTGTTCAACGAGGCCTGGGGGTGGGAGCACACGGGCGCTCACCCCGTGCGGGGTGATAGTGGCTGCAAAGCTGTTCCCCCCGTGCCATTCCACAGGCGGGGACACCCACCCGCCACGTGCCATCACGGAGCTGGGCTGGGGAGCACAGCACAGCCAGTGAGCCTGAGCCTTCCCTTTCCCTCTTGGTGCGACCGATACTGTGGCATTTAATGTCTGTGAGAGCTGCACCCTTCTAAGAAAAAGCGGATAAAAAACATGAGGCTTCTGGTTAAAAGAGGGTTTTTTTCCCAATTCCCAGTGTCCTGTCCTTCCAAGGAAAAGCAACCAGGGCAGGATCATGGGATAGGCACCCCCAGTTTAAGTGATGTGCTCCAATACTTATTTAACTGATGGGCTCAGATGCAGACATTACAGAGCTGCTGCATCTCACTAACCCCTGATCTCAGGTAGGGGTGGAAATGAATGAGCTTCTCCTTCCCATTGCAGCACTCAGCTTTCATTCCCCTGCCACCTGTGACGCTTCTGTTTCTCTGCCTGGCCAATCAGCCAAGAGCTGAATTTTCTAATATGCACAGCAGGCAGCAAACAAAATAATTTGTAAACACTCTCCCAGACCTTTCTTCATCATAAAAAGAAAAGAAAATGGCCTGCCTCGTTTCTCCTCCTCTCACAGCAATTCTCTTTAAATAATTTCAGCAGGTACATGTAGTGTTAGGAGGGAATGTCTTTATGGTTTTCATCCTTGAGCAACCTATCCTGTCTTTCCTATTTTTTCCAGTTGTCTCTAATATTTTGAAAACATTTACACTCACAATAATAGGCAATTTTATTACAAAGATTCCAGGCATGAGAACTATTGAGTTAATTTGTCTCTGTATCTCCAAAATGAATGGATTGCACCATTTAATGAAAATGCTGTGTTCTGAAATTCAAGCCTTAAAATTATAAAGATGTGTCTATGCTTTATATCCATCACTGTCTGACAGTGGTTTATATAAAAAAAATATGTTTGGCTCCAGTTTTATTTATTTCACATTATGAAATAACAAAGATGTGTGCTGGGTTAAAACTGATCCTGAATGCTAATACATGAGAATTAAATGGAGAGAATAACAACGGCCTAATGTCTATGCTAAATTAATATATACTATAAACGTTATGATGCACATTGGGTTGGTGTTCCCAGCAGAGCCATTATTTTGGAATAGGCTAAACAAACAATGATCATCCTTTCACTGATGAGTGATGGTCTCCAGTCTGCTGCCTTCTCACTCCCGGTATGTAAATGATGTTCTCAAGCTTTGATCCAGGGACACAAAACATTTGCTTAAGCACTAAAGAAATGAAAATCGCCCCAAACTAGATAAAAGTAGGACAGAGCAGAGCTGTTAAGGTTTCACAGCACGGGCAAGTTTCGATGGCTGGCAGGGCAGCTGGTTTATGTTAAGAGGTCAAGCAAAAACACTGAGTGCCTGGTAACATCAGTGGAAAAAAATCCCCACCTCCTTCTCGGCACAGAGCCCACACACATGGTCCCTATTCCCACTCCCCACAAGTGACCCTTCTCTGCTGGAACAGGGAATCCCCTCACCCCCACGGCTGCGTGCATAGCCATGCCCAGATGAGCACATGGATATGGCCACTGCTCCTCTTCTCTCCCACCTATGAGCATCTTCTCCTACCAGCTGGTCCCTTCTGCCCCACACTGTCAGCAGCTGACCCCCAGCATAATCTCCCCCAGCGTCTCCAGTTCCAGCCTCTTCCTGCTGCTGCGGATGCAACAGCAAGGTCAGCCTGAGCTGGTGCAGGATCTTGGACTGACCTCCCCATATTTACCCACAGAAACATTCAGAAAAGTGGGATTTTGTGTGCAAAGGTGCCAGGTGTTTGCCAAAAGCAGATTAATACAATGCCTTGTGCCTCAAGCCCTAAATTGATCTTTGTTGCTCTAGGAAATTGTTAGCTATTCATTCAGGGCTGATCATCACATCCCTGTGTATTTCCTAAAGACCTTTGTTTCCACAACATCTGAATTTCACCCCTGCATTTGGCTGGCAAATGGTGACTGCTTGGCCCCAGCAAAAAAAGACACACATCAGCTTTGGGGTAAGCAGGCTGTTGGTGTGTAAAAGTTTTGTTAGACATTAACACCTCCAGCTTTTTGAAAGGAACAAGTTTTCATGTCAATTCAGCCAGAGTAGGTTCCAGCACCCAATGTTCCACAGAGGTATGGGCAGGAGTGCAGGTAGCTGTGAACCCCCTGGCAGCAGGGCAGGACTGGGCTGTGGCAGCCCTGGACAGGGCTAACCTCGACTGCTGAGGCACCCACAGCTGCTGGGAGGACGAGGTCCTTTAAAAACCATATTTGCACCGTAACAAAATTAGAATATCTTGATTAAAAGAAATGCGAAAAAGCCCTTAATTTTGCTCAAAGTGATGGAGTGGATGTCCAGCCCCACTGCCGCAAAAAGACCTCTTCCTCACCATTTCCATAAGACTTGCAAACACAGTAACTTTGATAGTTTTACTTCTCTGTTGAGACTGGGTAAAACTGGTTTATGGAGTTAAGAAGTATCACCAGGAGACAGACAGCATGAAGACACCACCCTATTCCCTGTGGAAACAGGGCTTTAGAAGAGTGGAAAAGCACAGAGCAATGAGATGGTCATTGGACAAGAGGAGAAAAAAGGTCAAGAGCAAGTAGAGGGCTGGGAAAGGGACCAGAGAAATTCTGGGATTGGAGAGCGATGAAAGTCCTGCTAACACCTCACAGAAAAAAGGCCTTATCTAGAAAAAGGCTATGCAAATGAGTGAAGGCATGGAGCAGTGGGGTGATGAGTAAAACTAATTAGAAAATGAGGCTTGATTATTCATGGACTTGACATATCAGAGAGTAGCTAATCAAAGGAATAATACAAGTTTGCATATTCTTTGTGATGTGGGCATCAAAGCAGCATCACTGCTGCTCGTTCCTAAAACCAAGCACGCTTGATGCACTTGTAACATCTTGCTCGAGATCAGGCAGTGGGTCTCAGAGAGCCTGAGGTGTTCAAAACAGCTGTTTTTTCCAGCTATTGAAATGATCTTGCATTTATCTCTACTTATAGATCTTGTCTCCCTAACTACAAACATTGCCCAAAACTCTGGGAAACTGGGCAGCCTTTAAAAGCCTGAGCTAAAGACCTGGGAACTCAAGGGACCCACCTTGCAAGATAATCAGAAGATAATCCCTTATGATTCCATTTTGCTGCTGAGTGATCACTAAATAAACTTCCTTGAAAACCCACATGAGAAGATGGACTTGTCAGGAGGAATTTGCAGAGAACTTGGGTTCAGGAAGCTTTCAGAAGTACCTCCTTCCCAACACACGGCCTCAGAAACCTCCCATCCAGGCTGTTCATTCCAGCAAATCTTGGATTTTAACCACCCCTCAGAGCCTGATGAAAGGCAGGCCAGCTTTCAAGTTATCAGCAGTATTTCCATCTCACACATAGGTCTCGGCCCTGTGAAAGGTTTTAAAGGAGGACCTGATGTGGGATTGGCATCTGGCCATGTACCAAGTGTCTGGGCAACAGTTGGAGAGTGAATAAATGATACCGCCCCATCACCACTGATTCCTTCCCAGCATGAAACTGGCTGAGAAACTGCTGAAACACCAAATTCCCTTTTGATGAGGACAGCCTGGGACAACTCCAGGGAACAGGATCCATGGGGATGAAAGGGCTCTTCCAAGTATGCCTCTGAATCAGTGGGAAAAGCGAGAAGTTGGGATCACTCCTGCTACTGTTTGCTTGTCTGGATAATTACAGTGATGGGTATATTAATACTATCTGGCATTAGATCCAAAGAGCAACCAGGCATTGAAAAAGATTACTGGTGAGGTGTGTGAAGCACCCTTTTGTAGGTGCTTATGAGCAGATTAGGAGGAATTAGAGAGGGTATGAGCCAACAAAGCCCAGGGCTGCAAGCCATATGGTCCAAGGGATATTTCATTCCAAGATATATAATTCGAAACTGGTGTATCTGACCTAGTTTAGGACAAAACCTGCAGCATTTGCTTGATTAAGGTAGGTAAGAGACTAAATAAGATAATGTAGAGTGGTTTTCAGCAGTGGTTTCACACTGAAGAGAAAGGCTTTTAAGGGACTCATGCAAATATTTGTTGAATCTTCCTAAAACCAAGGGGGAAATCATTTCACGTGGCCCTGAAAGGAACAGTAGGAAAAGACATAATATTACCTAATGCTATCTCAATAGGTAGTCCTGTGTGGAGTGGGATTTGCTCCAAAGGCATTCAAGACATCTGAAGGGTGAAATATGCCCTTCACAGTGAAGTTATTCCATTTTAACTACACTGGTTTGAAACAGGTTTAGTTAAACTGGTGCCACCTTTTACCTGGACAGTCTTCAATCCTAGAGTAGTTAGTATCGATTTAATTTGGTGTCATTCTGTGTACAGACTGCATCTTGGATGCTGTATAAATATTTGCTCATTGAAATTGATGCTGAATTTGGGCAACACAATCTTGTGGAATTAGGGGGAATTACCCTCTCATTTTGTGTGAGAGGGGGTCAGATGCAGGAGCAAAAAAAGAAATCTCAGGAAGAGGTCTTAAATTTCCACAGATGAGTTCATGCAATTACCTACTTTTTAAAATGAATGGAAGAATAAATGAAGGTGAAGCAAAAAGAACCTCAAGCATTATCAAATAATAATAGAAAAGAAGCTTTGATGACATTTTCTTCCAGCAGCAGGGCTGATGAATCTTCAGGGAGTGATCCTGTAGTCCAGTGAAACAAAGAAACACTCATTTCACAGTGAAGTTTTGCAACAGCAGATTTACCAGGAATAGCAAATAAATAATTCACAGCTTCTGAAGATGTAAAGATAAATTTTCTTTCCTTTATTTCAAATCCAGTTCTTCCAGCTGCAAAAGGCCTACAGCAAACATACCCCTACAAAATAGACAATAAGGGACAACGCAGGAGTTTCACTTTCCAGCTATGTTTAAAAAGACTCCTAAAAAAGGAAAACCTCACCTTCCTCTGCAGCCTCCTCCACCGCTGCCAGGAGTCCACAGGGAAACTGAATATTTGTGTTATATTACACTGAAACTTCTAGAATAAGAAAACAAAAAATCAACATTCAAAATGTTACTACAACAGAATTCCATAGATAATCCCCAGCTGGGCTGCATGCAAATAAAAAATATTGAGTACAGCGATTTCTTGTGATTTTCCAAAAATACTCGGGGTTCATGGCAATACAGCACTCTGCAATAACTCAAAGAAAACCCAGGCGGTGTGAATTTATACCTCCTGATCCTGAATTCTAGCCACTGCTCCCTTGGCTTGGGCCAGTTTTCACCAGGTGCTCCAGGCCAGCCCTGCATTTTCTTTACTACAGGCACAGGCTGCTCTTGGGATCCCACTTTGAGCAGATGATGCCAGCCCTGCGTGTGCCTTAGCTGCCACTTTGCAGGATTAAAATAGTAGCAGCTATTTTAATCCACTACTGGAATACATCTGAAGAAATTCCTCGCAATCCCTTACTTCTCTTCCCAGCTGGCACAGAGCCAAGTGGCAGGGAGTGCACGTGCTGTCCGTGTCCCCTGGCCAGAGCCTTCCTTCCTTGCTTTGGACAGGAGGGGTGGGTGCAGGGTACCTGCTCCATGCTGCCAGCACCCCTTCACCCAGCGAGGGCTGAACAGCATGGGCTGGTCTGAGCCTCCTGCTCAGCACTTTGGGAATTCTGCAGGCCTGAGGAAGGGATATCTTGGGACCAGCAGCAGCCCCACCACAGCCTCGGCAGCCCCTCGCCCATCTGATGCCGGTGTGAGTTCTTCATCCCCCAGGCTGAGGGCTGCATACTCAAAACATCTGCCATGTGTATTACGACATCTCATTCAACACTGCTTAAATCAGAGAAGCCAACAGACGACCTCTTCTCTCTCGTGAACATTTGCTAACTGCTCACTGACCTAATCAGAAATTAAGTGGGCAGAGGGGAGGGGGTCAGTGCTTCTGCTACTGCCCTGTCACAGTGGCAGGATCCACTGCTGTATGTGTGCACTGTGACATTCAGACACTGTGCGTGCACCAGGTTACTGTGCAAAGATTACCTGTGCAAAGAGATGTGAAGATGGATATTATTATAATGCCTGGGGCTGGTTCCAGTCCTTTTCCTGCTCATCTTTCCCTATTAAAGATAAGCAATGCATAACAATGTGGCCTTACACACAAAGGGGTGTAAGACAGCACCTCTCAGCATCAAGTCAGCAAATTCTCCACAAGAATATGCATCCTCCAACGGCACAGACCTTTTATGGACCTGCCTAGGTCCCAAGTGATATAGTACTGGTAAATTCTTGCAGTTGTTTGTGTCTGAAAATACCCAATTGCCCCCTTTCTATACCTGACCTACTGACGCCTGCTTGTATTTTTAGGGGCCAGGACAGTTTCAGACTTGGGGGCCAACCTCAGAGACAGAGCTCCTACAGCAGATCCTGCTGCAGCCATTCCTGCAAGGAATCCTTGATGCAGGACAGTCCTCCTTGAGACTGTCCAACCCAGGACTACTAACACTGCCCCACAGAACTTTCTCCACGATACATTTCCCCAACAGATCCATGCCTGTACACATTTCGAGGAACAATCCACGATTGCACTCCCTTAACTAAAAGAATAAAGCATACGCTGTGTTATAAACTGTGTCATGTCTTTACTTGCAACCCCTACCTAGCAAAAATCTCTTGGCCAAGGAGAGTACCTCCGGCTGTTGGACCAGCTCCGTGGATTTACATGAGCTGAGTTCCAGGAGTTCCCTCTAACTCTGAATTTCCAAGACACTCTGGATAAATTAATCTGCCTGAGACCTGGGGCTGCCAATGAGAGCCTGTGACACTATGCAGAACACTGTAACAATCAGAAGAAAAATAACTTATAAAAAAATTATTTTCTTTCATGCAAAGAATCAAACTTTAAATGATCCCATCTGTCACTTTCATCTGCACCCTGTTCCGTTGGCTGGATTTTGCTCATTAAGATAAATTTCAAGCCAGCAGATCATTTTTACCTTCAGGGCTTTGATGAAATGTAGTGTTTGGGACTTCCTCCCCTCCTCCGTTTTTGACAGCCATGACAGTGTATCTCTCTTATGCTGCTTTGCAATTGTATGGAATGCCTTTGACTTTCCAAAAGGGAAACACACTACATTCAAATTCCTCCTCCTTTTCCCCATGGGACTAGAAGCTGGCCAAGCCCGTCCAATAAAAGTTTCCTATTCGACCTTGCATCCTAAAACCCTCTTCTCTTTACTACTCTCCTCAAAGCTTCCCCAGCAAACCTCTAGCCCTTTCAACACTTGGTCTAGAGAGTTTCTGTGTCGCACAAATGGTTCAAATGTCTTTGCTTCTTCCCTGAAAAGACATAAAAGCAATTTGTTGGATTCCTTACCTCATCACCAAACACAACTGTACACTCTGCATGTTACAGCTCCCCATGATTTCAGCCCCAATGACTTGTTTTACTGTAAGTGTAATTATGCATTGGAGTGGTTTCATGAGGGATGTGATAAATCATCTGCCACTTAACGTCTTTAAATCAAGGCTGGGTGTTTTCACTGGGGTCCTTCTCCATGCCTGGAGCACACAGAGGCTCCCAGTGCATTTACAGGAGGGTATATAATCACATGGTCATGGTCAGCCATGGTATTGAGGAATTAGCAGATGGGTGGGATGGCCTTTGTCATGCAGGATGTAGGATTAGTTGGACTTAATGGTCTGTTTTGGCCTTTAAATCTATGAATAGGGAAAAGGAAAGAGGAAAATAAAAAAAAACAATCAAAAAGAACAAAAGTCCCTATTATAGCCAGCATGTTTCTGCCTTCTGAAAGCAGAGCCAGAGTGACTGAAGGCAGCTGGAGCTGGAAATGAGTGCTGGGGAAAATCAAGGGTACCACTGTGCACCGCCTCTGATGCCCTCAGAGTCCCCCAGGTCCCCCAAACAGGGTCTTGCAAGCAAACCCATGAGTCCAAACCCACTAGGATTTGTGATGTCGTTCAGAAAACAAATGGTGTGAGAACACACACAATGTTCAAATGTTTCTCCTTCCCCCCCCCCCCCCCCCCACTCCCTTGAGGTCATTTTAGGTGTTCCAGAACTAGAAATCTAATGCCTTTTCTATTTCACAATTAAGCTAATTAAAATTTTAATCTGGTGGACATTATCTTATTGCATAATTAGAAGAGCTTATATTGCAGTGGTTTGGTTGGTACCAATCCTTTTTGCTTTAAATTGTGTTTCATTAATTGAACAGAGCTTAGATGGGTGCTTATAAGGTACTAAGCCAGCTATCTGTTCTTAACAAAATTCTCCCTGGCACCTGTACCTGCTCTGAGGCTGCATGCTTTGTGCTGTAGTAGTTTTCCCTTAGTAAAGGTTGGGCTATTACAACCACGATCACATGAGAATTTGGGGTCCTATAGACTCCCCTCATAGACACCATCACAGACTGACTTCATGCAGCAAACACAGAGGGTCCCCTTGGAAAATGGCAGATCCAAACTCTACCCACTGACTTGCTGATATCATCTGCTTAACCATGGATTATTGAATAATTAATTACTCCCAGGTCTCTATTAAGTCCCAAAGAACCTTTCTATAGACTAGACTGGTATTACTCTGCCATACATTTTAAAGAGATTACTATTAATTAATTAAACTCATCTGCATACCTAAAACTCAGCTAAACCCTCTATTGTGTTACCTGCTGTCATTTCAGACGTGTAGTGCTTCCAAACTCCCATAGAAATAGAAACGGATTAAACTCATCTTTTCAGATATGAAGCAATTTAAGAAATAAGTTGTTTTTCCACACCTCCCACAGTGCCCTGTGCAGAGCGGGACTTGGGAGCTGCCCAGGGCACTGACAGAGCTCTTCCCACAGGTTATCCATTCCACCAGGAGTCAACTGCCTCCAGGACTTTTGACCCAGTGTTTCCAAAGACATTAAATCTCCTGAAAGCATAAATAAAACATTAGACCACAATTTATCTACTCCTGGGGCTAAGGCACCCGAACTGGTGAACGTAAATCAGTCAGAACATTTATGATCTACTGACACATTTCCTTTCTAAAATAGGAGCCCAACACACATAAATCCTCACAAACACTTCTCTGGAGCCATCCCCATCCCATTCACCCCAGACACAGTCACCAAATCTGCACGGGAACCTCCACAATGCCGGAGACTGATGGCCTGTGGATGGGCTGAGGGCTCTTGCTGCTACCACAACAAAACAGTAAATAATTACATTAGTAATGAGCCAGACCTTCCAGCTGGCCAAGTCACAGGAGCTGGGGGATTTTTTGTCAGTAAACAATTTCAGATTAAAAAAAAAGCAAGCAACCTTTTGTCAAAACCAAACATCTCCATACAGCAGAAATACATTGGATAAAATTTTTTTGTTGTTGTTTTTGTTTTTTTTTCATAAGGAAAACAGAAAACAATTCAGGCATAAAAATTCTTAGCTTTTTGTTTGTTTTTTTCATTTGTTTGTTTTTTCCTGCAAAATATACAAAAAAACCTTCACAAGAGGATTTGAAAACACTAATTATTTCTCAGTTAGTAGCTTCTTCTGAAAAGATGGAGATTTTTAACAAAAGGTTGCAACTGAGGTTAAAATAAATAAATTTTTAAAAAAGAGTAATTTTACCCAGCTCTGTTGTCAGCTGCCCTCACAAAACTGATTTGGGATTAATGGGTTGACAGCAGCCCTGTTAGCTATCTGGGAATCGTGGCTCTGTGGGGACATGGAGCTCACAGCATGGGAGTGAGCCATAAGGCTCAGCATTTCCAGGGCAAGCCTGCAGCTCCCAGCACGGGATTAGGCAGGGAGCACTGCTGGAAGCTGGAAAAGACCCACAGCAGGCACTTGCCTGGTCTTTCAGGTCTTGTTTGGAAATCAGCACAAAGTTACTCCACAGCTGCAAAACAGACAGTGCTTAAGCAGAATCCATTTCCAGTTTCCAGAGGAGTCAGTGACTCTGCCCAAGGTGAGTCCCAGCAGCCCTCTCTGCATCCAATTTGCACACTGGTTTTGTTCAGGATGCAGTCCCTGCACCACCACCTCTCCAACACTGGCACTTTCCAGGCTGGCAGCCAAAGGGATGCTCAAGCAGACACTCCTGCAGACAGAAAGCTAAAGCTGGTTTGCCTTACATTTGCTCCAAGAGGAGCAGGATGGAGAGCAGTGTTTTACATCCAGGCAAGGGGGCTGAGCTTATCACTCAAATACAGAGTTTGTTTACAACAAGTACTTGTAGTAGGGAATTGTCTCTGCTGACACCAGACCCCCATGTCCCTGCCTGTGTAGGTGAGCCTCTCATTGATGTGATGATGATTCAATCTGAACTTCTTTGACACTCAAACCCAAGTTGTATTTGCTATGAAGACGAGGGTTCACACTTCATTGTGTCACCCTCCCTGAATTCCCTTTCAGGGCCGTGGTTTTGGCTGCTCAGGGCATGAAAACCTCCTAGGATGTGGGTGCCACAATCCCAACAGACGACCAGGGATGCATCTCTCTCACAGGGAAGAAGTTTTTCTGATTTCCAGTCTGAACTTCCCAAGCTGCTGTTGTCCCTTGTAACATCAACAAACAGCCTTTACTAAGAAGGATTTGGCTCCATCATTTCTGCAAGTTGCTGTAAGTTGCTATTAGCTCACCCCTTCACCAGCCTAAACCAGACCATCAGCCAGAGCCTTGCAGGGTAAGCATCCTAAACCCTTGAAATCTCCATAGCCCTCCTCTCCAGTCAAACTTGGATCAGCCAGTTCTGGCAGCACAGGTCTAGGTCTTGGTCTGTACTTCACAACTTGCATCCCCATCCCTTGGAGCCAGTCAAGCAAATCCTGCCCATGCCACCACTGAGGAAGGGCACAAAGACCTCTCACACATCTTCTGCACAGCAGTGTTGAGACACCCACATTAAGGAAGCAGAAAAGGAAAACCATTCAGTCATGATTTGTCCCGTTCACTGAGTTGTCTGAAAACTTCAGCATTTAAAGCAGCTATGGTCTCAGTGACTCAGTAGATGCCCACTATTTGGTGCCATCCACCTACGTCCTAGAGCCTTCTCAGCCTCCAGCCTGAGTGAAGTCCTCTCTTTCCACTTTACTGCCTAGTTTACATGGCAAAACAGCTTCCCAAAATATTCTTGCAGCACACCAAACAATCTTGCTGTCAGTCCTCAAATTTCAATGTGATTGGTAATCAGTGCACCAGGCATCAGAACTGGGTTATTAAAATATCTGCCATGATGAACAATGTAAAATAAATGCAGATAAATTGTATTACTCTGGGTCATTTAGTTTTAAGTGCAGCAGCCGCTGTGTTTTTTGCCACTTAAGAGATATGCAGCATGAAACAGCACAAATAAATACAGATGTAGAGAACATTAGATACACTTTGTAAGAGCAAATTATGCACGTTCACATTTCATTCTAGTTAGATCAAATTTAGATGGTTTTCCTCCATTATCTCAGTGGATACACTAAAAGTCAATGATTTATGAAAGAAACCGGTGTGAATGCCATTATAATTGATTAACCTAAGAGACTGGTGACCTACTTATAGATATACAAATATGATTATAATTGTGCAGTAAGTAATTGAATGTTCTGCAGGACTTCTTTATAATGTGATTGTGATGCATAAAAATAAGAGGTAGACAAAAGGCTTCAATGTTGTGCAGGCTCTGAGATCCTAGGAGAGGTGCTGAGTTCTCCCTGCTCCCTCCTGTCAACATGAATAGGTGTTGAGATCAGAATCAACTCCGCTCTGAATGGTAGCATTTCCTGTAAATAGACTGTCATTTGGACAAAAGGCTCCAGTGTACTTTGTAGCTGGGATAACTTTTGACACCCTGAGCAGATCTCATCGCCTGGGAGATGCTGCACACAGACCCTTCCCAAGTCATCTCTACTGGACCCACTTTTCAAAGGCTTCCTTTAGGTCAAGAAAAGGAGACAGGCAGATCCAGACCATCCAGAAGTCATGTAGGTATAAAATAAACATATGGGTCCCTATTTCTAAACCACCCCTTTGCAGCAGGCCTCAGCACCACTGTAATAAGTTTGGGAATATGCCAAACCTCAGGTCTGTGCCAGCTGTGGCTCTGAGTCCAGCACTGCTGCCACTTCTGCTGATGGGTATGAGTGCCCACTTGCCTGTGTTACAGTCACAGGACACAGCAAAGAACAAGAGGACCTCCCTGACTTCAGTGCTTTTCAATCCACATCCAGAACAGAGAGCAACAGATGGAGACAGGAGACAGTCCCCAGGTGCTGGCAGCTAAAGACCATACCTAGACCATGCAGATGGCTCTACCCTGCAATCCCAGGTAATGCTCCTTGCTAATTGTGTTTCCCAGCACCTCTGCAGTGTGCATCCTGCTGGACCGAAGGCCAACATCACCCAGCCCACAGCTGCCCAGAGGCTCTCATGGCATTATTATGTGCCACAGATTTTCCTGTACTTTGCTGCCAGTCACTTCTGACTTGATTTGTCTGAGCTCCTCTGCATGGACACGGGCGGCAGAGCTAACCTCTGACAATGACACACAGCTCTCTGCAGAACAAAATTCTAGATTCCTAATTTGAATGACTAAATATACCAAAGCCCAGTGATGAATTATTTAAAATCTATACAAATTTTGATGCTGCATACTGAATTAGAGACTTCAATGCACCTCTGCAATTATGAGTCCCTCTGCCTACAGCTCCATCATGGAAAAGCATCCATTTATACCCCCTGGGATAAGTGATCTGTTACAATTCCCTGGACTGGAAACCCTGGAGATGATGTGGGAGCCAGGAGTTGCTGGGATGGGATTGAGTTAATTAGCACTGTGTCTAAGGAGAGCCGTAACAGCATAATGAAACAAATAGAATAAAAGCAGTCTAAAGTGACTCCAGTGGATTGATGGGTGCTTAATCCTGACTGTGGAATAGTCAGGATTGTACCTATGCCTGCACATCTGTGCATTTGCCATATATTGCTCACACTGGGAGAGATGGATGGGGAGGAGGGTGGGTCATTGCAGCTGGAACTTTCTGGCATGATGTGTGATAGGGGCAGAAAGGTGGAAACCATTGGCAGCAGCCCCTTGCTGCCACAGCACACCTGGCTCAAGGTCAGCTCTGCTTGTGAAGAACCAAAGCCACCACCCCTTAAATCCTCATGCAGGATGGGATCAGGTCCAGCACACACAGCTCTGCAGAAGCCACAGTCAGGAACGCTCTGTAGCAGCAGGAATGCTTGGGTCCTAGGGAATAACCCTGCACTCAGCTCCTGCCTCGGCTGAAGGTGTTCCACTGCTGGTGAAGGGCCCTGGAAGGGCTTGCAGGGCTCCTGCCACAAACTCTTGTCAAGCACATGCTGGTAATGGCCTTCCTATGCCCTGTAGCAGAGCAGTATATCCATTCAACTGCAAAGCCACTGACATTTAGAGCACATCCCAGAGAAAAGTTTGCATCCCACTTCCCAAGGAGTTACCTCTAAGCTCGGCACACAAGTGACTGGCTGAAGATGGCCATGTTTGACTTCTTCATCCATCCTTTCCAGTGCTGACAGCCACCAAAGGATGAGCAACAGGTTCCACTTTTTCAGCTTGTTTTGCATTCTTTTCAATATTCAGTTGTCTGGAAGAGGAATATGTTGGCCCCAGCAACCCTGTGTTTGAGGGAGCTGCTGGCTTTTTCAGAGTAAATTGTTCAGAGTATTTTTACAATCGGCATAAAAATACTGACACTGCCTGTATGGATAGCTCTGTTATCATGCCTGGGGCCCATAAAGAAAGTGTAAGGAAAAAAAAGAAAGCCACAAGTTAAACCCATACTTTACAGCAATAAGACTCTTCCTTTTAATTTTTAAGCTTCTCAAATCCTAGCTTCCACCAGAATGAATCAGTAAAAGATAAACAGAGCTGCCAAGCTGCACTGTTTTGAAGCAGAGGGATGACTCCCAGCTTGGCCAACTGTTCTGACTGCCAAATATAATATACACTAAAATGACAAAGCATAACAATACAAAAGACCACGTACTATCTTCAGTCCATATACAGCTCTATCTCTATCTCTACCAGAGGGAACTGGAGCTGTGCCCAGCAGTTGTATCTAGTCCTGAGCATTGCCTATCTACCAAAGACTAGAGGGAACTGCTGGGGACAGATAGCAGCTATTAGCTGAGCTGCTGAAGTGATACCTGCAGCTTTGCTTAAACAAGAGGAGCATAAATAAACTCACCCTGGCTTTCTCCAAAACCAAACTCCTCACTGCTGCAGAGGCATTTTTGTTGTGGCATTGCCCAGCCCACTATTGCCAAAGAGGCAGGAACAGCCTGACCCACACAAGCCCCATAGGAAATTCACTGCTCCAGCACCATGACATATCTCTCTCTACACAGCTTTTCCTCATTCCTACCAGCAGCAAACTGGCCAAACACTCAACTTCTCTCTGCCCCTTCACTTCAAACCTCTCCTCCTTTCAGCTGCACCCCACAAATCAGGGATAAGCACCAGCTAATGTGAACTGTGAGGCCAAGCAAATCCCCATGGGTAGCACCTGTGCCCCTCTCATCCCTTTACATACATCAGCTGCTCTTCCTTCTTGGGCATTGCTTGAAGTGAAAACACTGCAGTGGAATAATCCCCAACTTCAAGCCCATTGCAGAAATTAAAAATTACTTGCTTCCAGTTGGATGCAAGGCTTACTAATTTCTCACCAGCATTCGGGTGGCAAGTTTGCCACATGAATAACTGCGTGTCCAGAAAAGTGTTCCACTGGTAGGGTTATTAGCAGGAAAACAGGAATTCAGTTGGAAAGCATTAATAAACCTTGAAGACAACAGCTGTTATGGTGATTGATCCACCAGCCAAGTGTACACAATTCATGCAGGATGGAGGAGCAGAGGTTATTGCACAGGGAGAGTATGCTGAGAAGTAGGAAAGAGAGCAGGGTTGTTGTAGAGGTCAGGGGAAAAAATTGGTATTGTCAGGTTCAAAAGTGTTTAAAAACCCCACACATCTTTTCCAAAGCTGACTCAAAATTGGATTATTTTAGTAGTCCGCAGCATTTGTTACTTAGAATATTGGTGATTTCTTTTCATACAAGGGACAATGGAAGCAGAAGAGTTTTGCGTGTGTCACAGGGCAATTTCTCTGTTTGGTCCCCAGGGACAGCAGATGCTGCAATACGAAGGCTGCAGGTGCCCCAAGGAACATACCCAAACATGCCCAGTGCACCCATCCCTCCTCCTGAGGGGAGTAATAAAATCACCAAACTCCTTCAATGACTGAAAGAAGGATTAAGGGGAGGACCCACCTGCCTACTGAAATGCCAGGAATTTCTGGCCCAGTGTCCTGGGTCTGCTACAGGGCTCTCCTGCCCATAAGTAGCTGCACATTGGGAGCATCTCTCCATTCTGCTTGTGTGCATCAGGGCTTTGTCCTTTGGTACTCACTGGAATATGTTTTCAGTACATCTGGCTAAGGATGCTGGAAAAAAACACGAGATGGTAAACCTAAGCTGGCACGTTGGGCATGCAGGAACGCCCATATCTGAAGCATTGTGGTGTTCTGTAGCTCCCTTTGCCTCCCTGGAAACATCCCTTTCTGCAGGAATGTCTCATCCATCCCAGCAGTACTGCCTCTGCAAAATCTGAATGGAAAAAAACCCACGGACATAGTGGAGACAGAGCAGAGGGAATTCAGGTCCCTCCACCCAAGACCACCACTGGGTTTGGGCACAGGCTGTGATCCTCCCCAGAACGTTCACATCGTGGCATTACAGTTCATGCCAACCGCACTGTAGAGTGTTGAGCTCATTGCATTATGTTTCCTCCTGAAAGAAAACAAAAACAAAATCTTGCCAGTTTATTATTTCAGCTAATTATATGAACCAACAGTATTTCATCCAAACCATTTTAGGAAAATAATTGGAGAATGTTTGCAAAGCCCAAGCAACCGTTTTTCTCCTGCCAGGGTGGCAGATGCAAACATAAAGAGTAACATGTCCATACATCTCCAATCTCAACTTCTTATGAAACAAAATAAAAGCAATCTGGTTGTGAACTGATCCAAAGCAAATACAATATTTCAGAACATGCCACATTTAGTTGGTGGGGCTGATTTATATGACGCAATTTAAAGACCAGTGTGCAAATATGGAGGGGAAGACTATTTCCCCTTCACACTTTCTTACCTCACAGACATTGTTTTTTTTTGCACGTAAGTAAGGAGCCCTTGGCCTGTGCAGCAGCTGCCTTTGAAAGATGAGCACTGACAGATTTCTATGGTACTTCCAAAAAGAGTTGTTTTACAGGCCAGAGGTTCCCTTCATCATACAGAACGTTTTGCCATTTGCTGAGTGATCCGTGAGATCATCACACAGTGGTCTTCAAAATAAGTGTTGCTGAAAGCATCCCCTACCCAATTTCCACTTGCAGGCACTATCTCTATTCCCAATTTACAGCTGGAAAGAGAGGCAGGGAGAAGGCAGCAGAAGGCTCTCTAGAGAAGTGGCAGACTCACCGGCCCTGGAAGTGTTTAAGAATGAGAGGATGTGGTCCTTTGTGGTATGATTCAGTGGGCATGCTCAAAGGTTGGACTTGATGATCCTGGAGGTCTTTTCCAACCTTAATGATTTTATGATTCAATGACCTTTCTCAGGCAGTTCCATGCGCAGGCTGAACGTCAGTGCTGGCAGTCAGTGTGCCACCAGGGAGCCCAGGATGGCAGGACAGGATCACCCCATTCAGTACTTTCTCCTTTGTCACACACCATCTGAGAGGCAAAGACCTCGCTGTGTTTGACGTTTCCATGACTCGTTTTCTGATGAAGTGCTGCTCCAGCCATTGTCTCCGTTCTCTTTTTAGATTTCATGTTCAGCTTCCAAGATTTAGTGGCTTTTCAGCAGGCAGAAGAGCACCTCGGTTTTGTGGCACCGCAGACCTACTTAGAGATAATTGCTGAAGTAAATCAGAAACAAAAGGAGAACTAGTAAAAGCTGGAAATCATGTTTTAAAAGTGAAATTATATTAAAAAAAAAAAAGAAAAAGAAAAAGAAAAAAGAAAAATCAGAGAACAACAACAAAACCCAGGAGAAAGAACACCAGCAGGATAATTGTCATTTTCAGTAAGGAGGCCAGTGAAGGATTTCCAAAACCAGCCCAGTCCCAGTTCTCAGTTTGCCTTGCTAAACCTTGATCCATCATTTTGCAATAAGCCTAAGCATCCATTCCTCAGGGACCTGCAGGCTTCCTGAATGAAATCCTCCAGCCCTCCATCATGGGAGTAAGGAGGGATGCCAAGTGCCTGCTCTGAAGGGTTCTACTGCTGCCTTACACAGAAGCACTTCTGAGTCCTTCAACAGCTTAACCCCATCCCACTTCCTGTTCCCAGGGAGAACCAAAGCTGTGTGTCGCTCAAAGGCTACACACAGATAAATCAGTGTTTTACACCCAAGCACCCTCAATATTTGAGCCACAGCAGCTCTGTTGCATCACAGGCAAGATGCCATCAGACTGCTCTAAGATACACCTCCCAGGAATGAGAGGTCAACAACAAGAATAAATACATTAATTTAATTCTTTCTCTGATGCTTTCCCCTTGCTGCCAGCAGTTGCATTTCTGCATTTTGCACACCAGTGGTGTGAGGAATGCTCTTGGGAAGGGCTGCGTCCCAGGACCTAGAGGATTCTAATACCTGGATTTCAGGAGCGAGGCAAAACAGCCACTCTGTGAATTAATGGAAAACCTTATGGCAATGCCAATAAGCAGAGACACTAATTAATGCCAATTCAATGAAATTCATTTAGGACTCAGATTGCTAACGAAAGCTTTTCTTCCCCCACATCTGGATATTGCAAACCTTCAAGCAAGGCTGGAGATTTCCCTGAGGAACCTGGCAGCTCCCTGTGCAAGGAGCTGCGCTGTAAACTGCTGTATTGTCCAGGCTTGCTGGTGGGTGCAGGATCCCCATGAAATTGCAGGACTTTTCTGCAGTGAAATATGTTTGACATGGGGGTCAGGTAAACTGTGTTGTGCTGCATTCATGAGCATTTTTCAATTGACACTAATGGTCTAACCCTGAAGATGGTCTCCAGTCGCAATTTTCAGATATTCAAAGCCTGAAGGTTGTTTAAAGTTTGAGCATGGTTGAGCTGGGTTCGCCCTACATTATTTTCTAAACATTGACTTTTCTGTCATCTTTATTTATTATAATTAATACTCTCTTAATGTAGACTCTACCTGGACTTGTTCTGGGATATGCTGTACTCCTTGTTCTTGTGATGAGCAGTATTCCTCCGCCAGAACATGGCTTAATGACTCGAATTTGCAAAGGCACTTTGTTTCTTATGGAAATCTGATTATCAGTGCAAAAAAAAGCCCCTTCTTTTTCATGGCAAAGTGGTCTGTTCTGCTCCAGATGAAAATGTGGATGTTTCCATAATTGTACACTAACCTGTGTTGAACAAGCCAGCTCAAATGCTATTTAAGCTCAGTGTGGCCAGACTTTATCAGATTTATTCTATCTAGAGGAAGTCACATTGCAAATAAATAACTTCAGTGGTACATTGGAGTGTTGCAAAAGCAAATTATTTGGCAAATGTTCCCTCTTTCTTCTCCTCCTTATTCACCTGGTTTATAGGGCCATTAACAAATGCACCCTGGCTAAAAATGTAGCCTCAGAATAGATGAGACAACCTCACCGCTCTTCCACTTCATGAAGTTTTATTTTGAGTCCCTTTTTCCTCTTGCCCTCTAGAGACTTCATG